GGGAGCGGGGGCGGCGGCGGCGGCGGGGCGGGAGGGGGCGGCGGGGCGCAGCCGCACGCGCGGGTCGCGATGGGCGTGACGGCCGACAAGCTGGCAGACACCGGGAAGGTGCGCGCTGCGGGGTGGTGGCTCCCGCCTGGTGCGCAGCGGATGCTCCGGCGCACCCGCGCCGGCGCATTCACACCAGTGCGCACATGCAGTGGACCCGTGCTTTTGTCGCCGACAGGCCGGCTCCTGCGCGCGAGCGGGCGCCCTACTCCTGGTTTTAGGGGGAACCAGGCATCCCCCTGGCGCATCGACGCGACGGCCGCTGCCCAAGAATCACTATCGCTCACACAGTCCCTGTTCAGACAGGGGTTGCGACAGGCAATCTTGTTGATCGAAAAGATCTTAGCTTGGTGGATCTGCGGCCTGTGTGCGCCCGACCACGCCTGCTCCCGCGCCTCCCTGTTCACATCCGCAGGCCATCGAGGCGGCCGCCATGATGTACGATGACTACTGCCGCGTCATAACCCCCGAGAATCTGCTGACAGAGGAGTGCGAGGAGGTGGGTTCGCTGGCTGCCGGTGGTGCAGCCTCCTTTCTCGTGTGGCCGCGAGCATGCCTGCCTGCACTTGAAGTTGCGGCCGACGGCGAGGTGGCGTTTTGGTGAGGCCCGCGCAGCCACGCCTATGCATGCAGCGACTGAGGACATTAGTGGAGATCGAGAGCGCAGATTCCTGGGAGTGCACCGTCTGAAACGAAGCGCACAGTCAGCATCCCCCACCTGCCAGCCACTCTCCTTGTTCGCTGGGCGGCCACGAGAGTTTTCTTGCGCCCTCGACCTGCCAGGTGTGCAACATGCTCCTGGCCTGCATGGAGATGCGGAAGAGGTGGCTCTTCACACCCGCGGTGTCACCGGACCAGCGGCGGGTGAGGGGCATGGCCTCTGGTTGGTTGCTGGGGGTGATTGATAGCGGGTGCATTGGTAGTGTGGTCGTTGCTTGGTGGGCTGCGGTACGGATCCAGGGTGCTGGAGGGACCACCAGACGGCAGATGGAAGCCGCCGATCCTCTGGCTCTCCCCTGACGTGCTGAGGGCTCGCGGCACACACAGCTCGTGGAAAAAACGGAGCCACCTCATCAAGGGGGGCCTGCCTCCCTGTTGGTGGCGCTTGCGTGGCTCCTGTCAAGCGCGCAAAGCGGAATTCAGGGCAGCCGCTGTGGGGTGCAGCCGCGCCCTCACCCCCAGCCGCCCGGCGGCGCTCCCTCCCATTCCACTCAATCGCCCAATCCGCGTCGAGAATGGCCCCATGTCAGCACACCCTTACTGGAATCTCCAAACACACTCACCCTGCGTCCACCCCTCCCCGCCACTTGCACAAACCAGCACGAGCCGGAGGCGGCATCCCCCTCAGAGGTCGACCCGGAGCCCTTCAAGTGGCGCCCCCTGCCGCGCAGCGCCCACCGCTTCGCCATGGTGGGGGGCGTCGTCCATGTCTGGGCAGACGCAGACGCGCAGCAGCCGCTGTGGCGGGTGAGGGGGTGGGGTCGGGGCGG